GGTTTTGATTAAACTTTTACTATTAAAATAAAATTATTGCTAGAGAGGCCATTTTAACAATTATTTTTACGTGAAAAATGGCAACGCTCAATTTCAACCCCGAAAGGTTGACGGTCGGTTTTTCCGCAAGCTCTGCGGGGAGTTGGGCGCCCCTGCCAGCCCAAATGGTGTTCTTTTCCAAGTGTTGCGAACCAGTCCATCTGAATAAATTCGCTGTGCCACTTGATTGTATCACAGCCGTAATTAGATTGGTGTTTGGTTGGAGTCCCGTGTCTTGGGTCAAGAACCTTTGGGTGCTGCCGCTGCGTAGGTGGATCCAAAAAATCGAGTCTCTCGACAATCCACCAGATTCGGCCGCCTGATTAAAAATTATTTTATTATTATTGTTGTTTGTTTGTCACATCACATTGTCTACACACAATTGTTGAAAACATTTATTTGATAAAATAAAAATTATATTAAATTATTTTTATAAAATTCAAATATCTTACGGCTTTGACGAAACTGGAAGTTTCGGCATTTGGGGTCAGAAGCAAAATGCAAGCGATGGGAGGCTGACGAGGTTCAGTCAAACGCAGCCCTTGCACTGCTTTTGGGCTGGGTATGCGAATGAAACTTGACGAGACGCCCACTTTAGATAGTCTCTTGAAAAGGTTCATTGCCATCTCAAACATGTAGTTTTCTAAAAATTATTTGAAAGAAAATATTGATTAATAATAAATTCTCTAAAAAAGAAGAAATTCATTATTTCCTAATATATCAAAATTTAATGTTAAATAAATTAATATAAACTAAAAAATCTCATCGAGGAAAAGCTTAACTTTATAATTTTAAACATTTAACTATAAACTATGGATTCCTTGTAAAAATTATCCAACCTTTTCCTTTGTAAGGATGGTAAATAATGACCACCCTCCGCAAAGTCCACTGGGAATGGTACTGAACAATGAATTCCGTCGCGTGATTCCACAAATCTTCATCAAATTCGTCTCCGGACGCCCAGCCAGCAAAAATCATTACGATAAAGAGTCCAAGCGTCCTCACCTTCACCGTGCTCATATTTCAGGCCCACATGAAACACTGACTGCAGTGTAAACAGTGCATAACGTTTACCGTATTAAAAAAAAGAAAAACATTGATTATGTCTGGAAAAAGACGGTGTGACTGCGTGGAAAAGTAGCTGCATTGATTTTGTCTGGCTGGTGTTGTGAAAAAATATTTGTTGCGTGTAGACTATAAATATGCGCCATAGACGCTATCCGGGTTGATGATATTCTGAAAAAGCTTTTTTGCTTTTATTTGAGGACTATAAAAGCATTTAAAAGTGTAAAACGTCCAAACAAAAATTAAAAAATAAGGCTACGTAGAAAATTCCGTTGAAATTTATTCTATGGAAATGAAAACTTCGAAAATAGAAAAATGTAACATTTTTTTCATCAAAGCTTCCTGACAATCAGTAATTTGAGTAATTATTAATTTCTATAGCGTCGATGTTTTTCGTTTTTAAAATAAAAGTTATTTAGTTACTTTAGTATTTTTATCACCAAATAAATATCATACAACGTAAATAAAGTTTTTGACTCTTTATTTTCTATAAATCACACCATGGGATATTGAAAAATTATTTTTCATAATTTTCATTGGTATCATTTGATTGTCAACTTTATAAAAATTGTGACAAGTTTCTCCAATTCTTAAAAACTTACGCAGATGAAACATAAATCAATGGAAATTTAAAACAATTCAAATTCATTTATTGAAAAGCCCTTCACTTTTGTTTGCTCTGCAATTGGCGAGCGCGTGCCTCTCATTGCATATTGGCGGGCCATGGAGTGTTACTCTGTTTGCCAGGGAACATGTGTTCATTGTCCGATGATGTGAGAGCTTTCGTGAGAACGCGAGTGCGGTTTCGGGGGCGCCCACTGACGTGGAAAATCACCTTTCCGCCTCATTAAGCACGGACCGCGCGCGCGTGTCTTCATTTGCGACCGCGGCGCTTTCGATCAGATTAAAATTGAATGAATTTGAAAAGAGCCGTTTGTTGAATTTGACAGCAAGAAAAGAGTTTCTGCGTAGCACAGATTCGGCCGACTGATTGGATTTGCAGTTGCGTTTGATTTGAAACGTGGAAAAAAGCAAATGAATTCAAAACCGTGGGAATCGAGCTATTAAAAATTTGACATTTAAACAACAATTGATGTTAAAATTTTCTAGTCTTTGCAGAAAAAAGTTTTTTCAAATATTTGTAGTTAAGAATTAAACTTTGCAGATTGTTCATTATATAGTTCATTATTTGTGTTCTCAAAAGAAATTAATAGGGACTCAGTTGCAATTGCTATAATTGATATTTAATATTTATCATTGTTAACTTTCCTTTTGCTCTTGTAATATTATTAATTATTGAAACTGGCAGAAAATGAACAAAATGAAAACGAAAGTTGCCTAAATTAATTACAATATTATCTTAAATAATATTATAATCACGTCAAGAATTTAAAATAATCTTTTTTTAAACAAATTATTTATTTAAAAATTGAAATAAATAGAAGAATAAAATAAATCTATTTTTATTGTATTATGTAATTAATTTAACAATGTTTTTCTCAAAACATTTTAAACTACATTTATGAGGCTTGCTTTTATACAAAATTTATCATTCAATTCACTCTTATTTAAAGTAAATAAAATTTCCACGCGCCTCTTCCGTGAGAAAATGTTTGTCCCGTGTAATTTCAAGTGTATTTTGAACAATGGTCTGCTTTTGTAGCTTTTTGATGTCATAAATAACTGGCGTCCTCAGTAAGTGGCCGGATCATCAGCTGCTGGTAACCACTCATTACACGACAAATTATACGCCGAAGACACATGCACGTCGCTTCTCTGCACCAAACTGCAAAAACGCTGCACCCCCCATGTAATAGGGGGTGCACGGCGTGTGTGTATTATTTATTGGCGGCGGCGTCACTTTCAGCAGCGAACAATCGCCGCTTCTGACAAATAAGCCATTTATGCGACGGAAAATGTTTCACACCTCATTATCGGCTGCGTGAATTATGAGTCGTGCGCACGTTCACGTTGCAATAGACCACGCTAATTTACATGTTTTATTCAATATGACTCGAATTTTGTTTTACAGTAAACAAGAAATAATACAGCATAACGATATCCATAATCCATAATACATTTCTCTGAAATCTATTAAATTTTTTCGTAACATTTAGCAAAATAAAACAATATTATATATTTCAAAAAAGTTAATGTAAATTTTTTAGCTAATTTACTGAATTATTTACAAAACAAAGAAAAAAGGTAAAATTTATTTTAATTTTATATATAAACATTTTTCAAAGTTTTTTTTAAATCTTTTTCTTTTCATTAATCAGTTTTTATTGTTTTAATCATTGGTTAATTTTGCATGTTTTATTGTCTGTCTTCAATTTCTTCGCTTGATTTCATCGCTTATTTTTTCTCGAATTTAAAAATTGATCGGGTTAAAAGTTGGAGGATCCCTTGATATATTTAATAAAAATCAAAATTAGCTTTTGGCCCTGTGATTTACGCTTTGAATAGACTATATGGCTCGATCGGCCGCAGGCAGTGAAACCGTCAAGTCTGGTTTTGATCTCTCTCCCTCGGACCCTTTGAATCTGTTCGGCCGCGTGCCGGTCCACGTGGCGCCGAATCGCAAACTGCAACTTGCCACTCACTCTTCACGGACACGTGCTGGCCGAGGCGAAAAGTGCTTTGCATTTAATTCAACGAGCGCGGCTAATCAAATTCCTCTTTGACAAAATTACAAGACTTATAAAAAATTAGCAAAAATTGAAAAATTCCATTTAATTTTGTTGTTTCATTGTTGTTTACAAAATAAAAAGATCCAGTTTCTTTAAAATTGAGAATTTTACGGATTGATTTTCATTTATTTCATAAACAGCTTTGCTGTATGTGTTTTACTCCCTGGTTTTATGGCTCCTTTTTCCTTTTTTTGGTCTGGCCTCTTCTTGAGAGGAAAATCAATTCCACTGCAAGGTCTGCGAATGGCATTTTAGCAAAGCGGTGGAGCAAAAGAGAGAGGTTGGGCCTAGGGGCTGTCACTTGCAGATCCACCCTCCGTTATTACGAGCGCAGAGCGCGCGTTTTCTCTCTGCTACATCGTGGTATAATTTAACTGTACAAAGCCCAGATTCGGCCAAAACACAGTTAATAAATTTTATTTAAAAAGTTGATTTTAGAGTTCAATCATGTATAGTTCTCCGATCCTTGTTTTAAGCAAAAATTTTGTGAAAATATTTAATCAAAGCATTGCTTGAACCGCTTTAATACCTAGAAAAAAGCTTTAAAATTAAATGGAAGAGCTGCTTTAACACTAAATTTCTCAAAACGCAAGCTGAGCATCTTGCTCTGCTGTTATTTTGCGCCGATCCTTGTTTAAGGAAAAATTGTGAAAATAATCAAAGCATAGCTAGAATAACCGCCTTAATATCTATTCAAACAGCTAAATGCCCAAATAGTTGTATGTATTTTTTTTTTATCAATTTCAATTTTCAATCCCTAATTATTTTTATCAGTTTCCAGCAATAAACTGTTTTACAAAATTTCAATAAACTTGCTTCGTACAAAAATATCTTCCATTTGCGAACTCGGCAATATTTCGATCAATAATTTGCACAACTTGTGCTAGGGGCCGTCCTTCTGCTCTTCTGTTTGAAAGCCCTCTTGCTATTGGTGGTGTTAAAACTCATAGCTGGGAAAAGCCTGAATCCCGGAAAATTTGTATAGGCATGGTTTCTGGCAAAAGAAATTTTTTTCAAAAAAATTGTCCCTCATAAATTTACATCAAAAACAACGAACAAATTAATAATATTTTTTCAAGTTTATTGTATTGTTTCTAAAAAAAAAAAATTATTTCATCTTGCAAATTTGGATCTGCCTGCGTAGTTTAGACAATTTGTGGTTCAAAATTAAAATAATCATCTGCTTCTCTTTGCTTGTGTGGTTTATCAAGATATAATACGATTTATTTACCTTTCAAAGGGTAAGACACAAGAAAATAAATAAATAATACAGTTTTCTCAAAGGGACGGTGTGCGTCTCCAGCGCGAATCGGTGAGGGTGCTCGAGTGCGCCGACTGCTGCGACAGGGACACGAGCGACAGGGAGGCCATCGGCGCAGAAAGGGTGACGGCGCTTTCCTTCCACTGCGCAATGTGGTGCTCAGGGAAGGTTAGCACGGCCGGACGCGGTGGGCCTCGGACGCCCAAAACGGACAGGCAGACTACGACGAATGGCAGCGAAAAGTACGGAAGAGAAATCTGGAATTATTATTATTGCAAAATTTACATTAGAAATGCGAAATGAATTTATTACAAAATTTAGTTGAGTGCATAAGAAATTGGAACTTAGAGAGACATTCATAGAGAACTGAAGAAAAACAGGCTTTGACAGCGTTTAAAATATTTTATATTTAATAAAAAATAAGCTTTGTGTACCAGTTTCAGTCACGGTCTGCAGACCTATTTTATTAAAAGAAAAAATCAAAGAAATAATAAAGTGTTTTTTTTTCTTCAATTAAGCTGAATTTTTCTTACTCATGAAATATGGTTATAGACCGAAAGACCGTGACTAAATCTGGTGTAGATTTTTTTTTTTAATTTAACAAGGACAAAACCTGTTTTTCTCTACAAAAATTACTGTCGCAATATGTAAAAAACGAATTGAAAAAAATATTACATCGTTGAAAGCCCAGCCGAAAGCGATTTGGACGAGGAGGGTGGCCAAGACCGCCACTAGGTTTATCAGTATGGAAGTAGTGCAAGGCACTAGGAAGAACATGACAGCACACGCCGTCAGCACACCATTGTAGCCCATCAGGCCGTTGTAAGCAAACTCCAGTAAAGATGAGCTCAAATGAGCGGCTTCAATTAAAATGTTGTTGAAAATTTATTAGAAATTTTTAAAAATTATTTTACCAACAAAAGTTGAAAAAAGTGAGCCCAAAAAAGCGGTCAAAGTTAGAAGTGGAGAAAAAATTAACATTCCGACAATGATGAGCGCCGAGCAGGTGATGTCATTTATGGCCGCCACTTGGCCCATTCCTAAAAGACTGCCCTGCAAAAGCTTTCTGAGAGAGTTTAATTTTCCTCTAGAGGAAATTTTCCTATACCAAGCTGTAGTCAATGTCATCATATGATTCGATGTCGACCGACGTGTGATTGAGGAGTGCGGCGCTTTCGTTTAGATTTCGATCCCCTTGGTGACCTTCGTGACCAGGGAGCTCGTTGATGAAGGTCAGGGTCAGGGTGGCTACAACGGCGGTCAGGTTGAAGGGCAACGAGAGGCAGGGCACGGGAGGTGACGCCGAGCCAAGGAGACTGCCCAGACCGTTTGTCAAAATAACCCTGGAAGATTTCATTTTTGGTTAAAATGAATAAATCTCATTTTGCTCTTTACTGAAAAAAAACGTGAAATTTTTTATCCAATGCGTTTTTAGTTTCACATAACAATTTTTGAGTAAATATAAAATAAATATGTTTCATAAAATTTTTCACAATTATTTTCAATTTATGATCAAACGAGTTTTATAGTTTTCTTTTTTACGTAAATGCGGCGCCAACGCAAATGGTGATCCAAGTGACCGCTTCCACGTCCTCGATTTTCTCTTCACTATTTAAAACAATAGCTTTCATCACCACTCCAAAGAGGATAGCGTTGAAACCAGCTCCGCCGCAGGTCAAACCTTCCCGAGGGTGATTTGTTGCCTTTTTCAATTGTGAAGTTTTAAATAAAAAAAAAATAAAAATAAAACATACAAGGGCAAAAATGATGCTTATCGTTGAAGACAAAATTCCTGCTAGTCCCAAAATTGGCGAGGAAATAAGCATTCCGATGAAAACTATCAATCCCGTAATGGGGTTGTTACAAAATACCACCTATTTATAGAGAAAATCATTAATTTTTTGCGTCGCTTTTAATTTAATTTAACCTGGCCAAAGTTCCTCCCAGAGACGTCGAGAAAGAAAAGAACAAGCAGAATGATTCGCACCGCGACAGACTGTGTTCTCTCCAAGTGCGTCTCTAACCATCTGAGGGTGAAGGGTGAGTGTCCGCACAACCCCAGAATCGAAGCCCACCCCTTGCGGCCCTTCTGCATTTTTGACCCAGTCTCCCCTCCTGCGCCGCCCCCTGTGCTACCCTCCAAAGTATGAGATTGACTAGGTGTGGCTAATAATTTAATCAAATGTTTTTATAATAATACAAAATGAATTAAAATCTCTGATGAAAAAAACTTACTGCTTCTACTAAACAGCTCCATGAAAACCTGCATTTCGCAAGCTTCCTTTTCTCCGTCGTCGCTCAATGGTATATTATTCCAATCGTCCAGCGCGCTAGAGCATCCTGCCAGCTCGAGTCGCTCAAGAACTTTGAAATGGACAGTTTTCCTCTACGCGAGCTGGAAAATTAAAAACAGCCGGGAATAACGAAAATAACGAAACCCCGAAAATAGAAAGAAGCTTGACACGTGTTAAATTTCTAGCGTCGAGATAATGGCGCATTTCTGGGTTAAAAGTGACCACCAACGGCGGGGCTAGAGATTTGTTCCGAGGTCGCACCTTTGAGCAATACTAGCTTTGACAGATTTATCGTTACATCAAAAGACGGTGATAAAACAGTTTGCAGTAAAAAATCAGCGTTCAAATTATTCATTATTTTTAATTTTCATCAATATTTTTTTCATTCCTCTCTTGGATATATTAATTTGCTTTGGTTTTATTTATTTGGGCAGAAAATTTTCAATTATTTCTAATTTTTTTTTATTCAAACAAACATGTAAAAAAATAAAATTCCCAAGAAAATATTGCCTTTAATAATTACATATAAAATTTTACTAATTAAATTTTTCCCTGGAAGAAACTAAATTTCAATAAATAATAAAATCTTATTTCACAATATATCACATTTAATTTGCTATATTTTTCAGAGAAAGATTTAGAGTCCAAGCTATTTTATTTTGGAAATTAAAATTGAATATAAACCTGTTGGTTGCCGGAAAATTACTCTTCCACTTATCAGCCCTTCTCTCTCCGAATCAAAATCACAACTACTTTTACACACCTACATAGTAAAACTTAATTGCCGTGCGGATGCTGCGACCCACAGATTTTCGCTCCACTCTCTGATAAAGACAATAAACAATTTTCCAACGACGTGCGGGGCTCAAGTGCTTAAGTTTTTGCTCCCTGTCGCGACAGCCGCCTCCACACACTTTCCTAGCCTTTTATTGCCCGCTTGTGTTTGACTTCGAAAGCCCGAGCCCACACGCGGTGTGTTTTCATGCAGACAAAAGAAAATGAAACAGCTTAGGCATGTTATGGTACAAGAAAATACTCCGTTTATTGGTTTTGTACTCAAAAAATTTGTGATGCAGAGACTAAAATTTAAAATACATGCACTTGTAAAAATTAATTATAAAATAATCCGGTGACAAATGAGTCGGTGTAATTTTTTTTTTAATAAACCTAATACGATTTTGGCATTTATACTAAAATTTTTTGGTCCATACAACGAACATCCAAACAGTCAAGAACACACCAGCATAATTAAGTACTCTGTACATGTATTCAACTTGGTTCTAGAATCTCTCTTGAGCCCAAACCACTGAGATTTGTAATGAAAACTCCCAAGAGTGGCTGGGCTGGAAATCTTGTACTACTGGCAATATAGCTTATATACTCCTAAAACATGATTGTGTATTGTTGCTTCAAGTCTCCTCATTTTACAATTTATCTAGAAAAATGGATTTTTAATTTTTTTTTCTTATGGATGGGTGTTGGTGTCGGTGGACTGGACGCTCTCACGGCGCGCGTCCTGCAGCCACTTGGCGCGGTGCTGTTCCGGGAAGGTCAAGGGCGCCATCGAGCGAGGAAGGGCCTCCTTCTCAGCAGTCATGCCCAACACGATGAGAGACGCGCCCACAAAAGGCAGGGTCAGCACAGGCAGAGCAGTCTGTTTGATAAAAAAAAAAATAAAAAAAATAAAATAAAATTATAACATTCAACAATAATTTCTTTAATTGCGACTTATTTTTACTTCATTCGTTTTAAAATTATCATTCCGTTGCTATAAAATTCAAATTTCCATATTTTTGGTTCATATTACATTTGAAAAGTAAAAATTTCAATTTTAAAGGAAAAGTGACATGTTTAATACAATTACTCTGATTGTTATTTCCAAAATTGAATTAGAATAAATAAATTACTTGTAAATAAGAAAAAAATCCAGAAATTAACTTACGTCAGCAAATGCCCATCCCAGGGCAACCTGGACGATGACGGTGAGGGCGGCATTCAGGAAGGCAACCAGGAAGCTGCGCCAGGTGGGAACGTAGAAGAAGCAGACGGCGCACGAGGCCAAGAATGCATTGTAGCCAAGGATGCCGTTGTACGCAGCATTCCACAGGTTGGCACTCACGGCAGCACCTTAACACAAAATGATAAAGTAAATTTTTGCTACATTGAGTGTCAACTTTAAAATGATGAAAACTGTTTCCTTTTTTTTTTAATTTTATAAAATCAGTTTTCCTTACCAAGGAAGGTTCCAACAAGTGATCCAAAGAACCCAGCCAGGGCGAGAACGGGCGAGCAGATCAGCATTCCAAAGAGCACTAGTCCGGAGCAGTACAGGTCCTGCACGGCAAATACTTGTCCGGCGCCCAAGAAGCTACCCTCGACAAGCTGCACAAAAATTGTCAAATTAGAGCATAATCTTCAATAAATTTTAATAATTTTCCAATAAAATTAATCAACAGAGAAAGGACGACAAGAAGCAAGATTTGCACAAAGCCATGATGAAAAGATCATGCAGTTATTAGTAACAATAATTAAAATTAAAATAGGGTTTAATTTTATTTATATAAAAACAAAAACTACTGGAAGCTACTTTGACTTCAACCACATAAAATATTGCTAGTAGCTCTTCTGTTCGGAAGAGAATTAGTTACGTGGCTAATGTGGCACAGGGTGTCGCAATCGCCGGAGCCCCAACCGCCTGTCCAGCCGCCACCGAAGACGCCCTGAGCCCAACACAGAAGTAAGCAGCACAAACAGAAGGCCAATTTTACCATTTTAGTTTTTGCATTTTGAAAGCTTAATTCCACAAAATCACAAGAGAAAAACGACAAAATATAAAGGAAATAATTAGTTTCATTTAAGATCATGAGTTTAAAAGACCAAATCCAAAGAAAATGAATTACTCAAACCGGATGAACAAAAACAAGGCGGACACTTACATGCATCCAGTCGAAATCGGGATTTGGAACCCTGGTTGGTTGTTGAGCCTGGTGGTGCACCCTGAGGACGACGACAGCAAAGAGGGCGACCAGGTTGAAGGGCAGCGTGAACAGAGGGATTGCTGGTTTCAGAGAGGAGAGACTGTTTGCCACAGAAACTGTGATGACCACCCTGCAAGATAAAGATAAATAATTGCTTAAAATAAGAAATCTTATTAATCTTAAGGATTTTTTACAGCGCTCATTGCCATGCAGTTGTGTTTTTTTTATTGTTCTTTTATTTTGAACACCAGATTTTTGTAGACTTCAAATAATTTATTTTGTTTTCCAATTAGATATGCAGAACATAGAGCAGAATGGAGAATAAATAAATAAATTAGCAGAAAAACAAATAACTAAAAATTACAAAGAACATGACGGTAAAAAATGTCCCTTGCCCTGGCGAAATTTAATTGGGTGAGAAAATCTTTAATGATATTTAAATCCTTATTTTACTAATCAATAACTTTCTATAAAAAACCTTATTCTAATAATTATTAATCGATTATTTATGAGTAATATTTTCCCTTCTGAAATAAAATGCAGAATATTTATAATTATTTTGACAAAAAAAAACAACAGGAAACACACTGTTTTCATCAAAGGTATGCCACCTGCAACTCTGCAATGCGTCGCGGGTTGCATACTTTGCTTATCGCTGCCGGCCCTAGTTAGAAAAAACGGTATGACCACAGGAGAGATTTATGACCAGTTTAAACTACACTGAATTGCATATCTGAGCTTTGAAAAATTTTGAAAGTCACCATCCAATAATTTATGGCATTATTTATCTAAGACAGCTCAGCATGCGTTATGGATATAACAAAAAACAAGTCCATAAAAATCATTGCTATCTGCAAAAAACAACTTTCCACCGCTTCTGCAAACTTACGTGAAAATTGAGCCAAGGACAACGCAAATCCAGACCGTTAGAGGTTCAGCCCATGGGTTGGGGCCGAGAGCCAAAGCGGGTAGGACGGCACCAAACAAAGCTGCGTTGTAACAGCAAAGACCGGCACGGATTGAGCCTCGAGGTTGTTGCATCAGCTGCGAATAAATTTTTTTAAATTATGAATATATTTAAAGATAAGCTAGAGTGAAATTACCAGGGAGAAGAAGATGCCGACGGTGGAGGCGACGAAACCGCAAAGGGCGACCAGTGGGTCTCCGACAGCTAATCCGGCCAGGATAAGAAAGCCGGAAATAGGGTTGTTGGCAAAACACACCTAGAATCATAAATAAATGTAACGCACATATTTTAAAATGAAGTTTTAATTAAATATATATATTTTATTAAAAAGTATTTAACCTAAAAAAAATAATCAATTCAATAATTTTTTTAAAACAATTAAAAAAATCTATATAGTGAAAAAGGATATTATAGAGGAAGGGGTCGTATTGTATTTTTTTTGCAAATTTTTTATGCTACGAATTAATGAATTCCATTGTTTTCATCAACAGGATGTGCTTTTAAAGCAAACGTTATTCCAATAATTACTTTTGGCTTTATGTTTTTAACAGGTAGGGGAGGGTTGTTTATAATTTTACATATTCTCATTAAAGAAACGCGATTTAAATTTTTACAAGCAAGGTGTGTCAAACGCACCTGTCCGAAGTTCCTTCCGGTGACGTCGAGGAAGTGCATCAGGTAGTAGAAGGCGCGCTTGACCCTCGTCTTGGACTCGTCAATCGCGTGGTCCAGCTTGTCAGTAATGAGGGGTGCATCGCCGCACAACGAGAGCCACTTGAAGCTGCCCAGCACCCCGACCACCCCCTTGGTGGTGCCTGAGGTCTCCTTCTTCGTGGGCTCCTCGCCGGACAGTGGCACGGTGGCTGCTCAAAAACATATAAAAAAATTATTTTTTTAAATCATCGGAAAAAATAATTTAATTATCTTTCTATTTCATTGGTTAAATTTTTTTGAATTTTATAAATCATTGTTTCATTTTTGAAAAAAAATTAGATTTAGACTGAAAGTAATTTTTGATTGCTGTGATCAAAAATGATAATAAACAGTTTTAAATAAATATATGTTGCTGTTTACAATTATTTTATTTTTGAGTTCAAATAAATTAAGCGGGCCATATTATGCCTTGTCTTTGTCAAAATATTGATTTTTCTTCCCCCGTCCATCATTAACGACAAGAAACGTCTCAATTACGGCAAATTTTCAAGGTAAATCTAGTTTGAAGAACTTCACAAAATTCATTGTACTTCATTAAAAAGAAGAAAAAAAGTGAACATCTTTGTCTGGTATATTTTTAGAACATATTTAAAGGGCGCCAAAAAGACGCTACCCCAGCCGCCTAGCGTCAACAAACCTCTACAACAAACAAGCAGCAACAGCGAGCGGAAAGTAGGGGAGCGGGGGTTGAAAGATCCTAAACGCAGCGAACGCTCCGAGCAGCGTCCCAAATATTACTTTTTTCCCGTCGCTCGATCAAACGTTTTCTGACTCGGACCTTTGGCGAAATTTGCACCCCCGAGAAGGAAATTTCAACTCGACTCACCCTCGTCCTTTTTCTCCTCGGTAGAGCCCATTTCGGCCGAAATTCGACTGCTTTTGCTTGCAACGAAAAACGAGAGAAGCAAAACAGACCGAAATCAACGCTCCCTATGTGCTTTATAACAACCAACGGCTCCCCTGGCCGAAAGAGCACGCTAACCTCCCCCAGAATACTTCCTCCCCCTCCGAGGGCGAGCCGAGTGGAGCGCGGGGTGCAGCTGGACGAGTGAAAACTGTGAAAAGGAAAAACCGCCACTAGCCGACTAGCTTATATTTTAATTCAGCGAAACAATTTTGATAAAATAATTTTTCAATTAAGTACTCGCTCAGCTTTTGAAAATAATGCATTAATCGAGTATTTCAATTAAATTCAAATAAAAATCAATAAAAAATAAATAACTAATTTCAATTATGAAGATTTGAAACAAAAAACTTAATTTTTTTTATTAAAGTGGGTTCATTTGAAAAATATTTTTTTTTTTAAGTTGATCATAAACACAATTTTTTAAAAATGTTTTGAAGATCAGAATTTATTAATGCTTTTGCAATGGTGGAATTCCATCTATATAACCTGAAACCCGCATCATCAAACTGGTATATATTTTTTTTTATCAATTTGCATATCACGCGACAAGTAATTGGACTGGTCTTGCGAAACCCGTGTCGTTTTAAACCTCTTTAAACTGGCGTGCCAAAATTAAATGCCACCCGTTGCTCGAGTATACCAGCAAGTGCAATTTATTTGTAATTCAAGGAGCGCGACGGCCGCCGCGAAAGCAACTTTTGTAACGGTCGTCCCGGTTGCATAAGTGCCGCGATTTGGCCCCTAAAGTCTCACCTTCCTCCGTGGCCGGTGTCTCCATCTCGATGTTGATCTCTGGCTGCTTTTCCGCCTCCTCTTTTTTCGGCGAGTCGCTCATTCTCTTTTCCGGGAAAGTGTGATGCGGCCACAAGTTGTCTCACTCGCACTCTGCGAAATAACCTATGTCGGTCGGTTTCTCTCGTTTATTTTTCACGCCGCAGAATGTGCATCGAGGGGTGGGGGCGCGCTTTTCTCTCTCTCGCCTGCTGGTTTTACGGCCGCACCGCGGGATTCCTCGCGCTTGCTGAGTTGCTGGTACATACAATAATAATAAATAATATGGTCCTGGAGCCTTTGTCCTGTTTCTCCAAGCACACCCTCGCTGTTCGCGTCGCTCGCTGGATTATTACAAACGCGACCTATTTACACCATTATTACTAAACTCTTGTACTGTCTTTTTTTACGCAAAACACCTCAACACAAATAACTTATATTATGCCAATGTTCTAAGAGCAACATTAACTTGTTGGGTGGTATTATTGTGCTAGTTAATGCCTCTGTAATGAAGATTTTTGCTCAAACACAGGAATAAAAATATCTAATCTAATCTGTTTTGCTCATTTTCTTCTCAATTAATTTTATTGATAAAATATTAAATAGTTGAGTGGATCTTAAATGAACCATAATTGAGCAAGAAGCAAGTTTTAGAAGAGGCGAGTATTTAAAAAATAATAATGGCAAAACAAAAAATGTAAAAAATTGCAAATGAAAATAAATCTTTTCTAATGATTACATTTTAAGTTTTTCTTTCAAAACAACATACTTTTATTGCTCATATTTATTTATAACATTAAATTTATTACATTATTTATCATAAAGGCTGGGACTTTAAAGTGAATAAAAATAAAAACTGAAATCAAAAGCACGCATTGAAAATTCAAAATTGACTTGAAGCTGAGTTGAAACTAGAATTTTTTCTAAATGATAAAATTACTTTATATCTTTGGATGAACTCAACTCAAATAGTGTGCATAATAGGAAAGTTTGACCGGACTGAAATCAATCTTGAAAAGGCCAAAATATTATTTTTTTTTTAATAAAATCATTATAGATTTGTAGTACAGACTTGCTCTGAAGGCATGGAGAGGTTATAATTGTACAAATAATAATTGATACAAGGAGAGTCAGGATTGAAAATTTATCCTGTCAAATACTCTAGCATGCATAAATTTATTTAAGCTGTTTATCTTTGAAATGGCACGCGTAGCAGAAATCTAGTTGCTTACGAAAAGCGTTGCGGAGGAGCGTAAGGATTTGGCTGCGGAGCTTTGCTGTAGGGATTGCCGGCCGCTGGGCCTTGGCCAGCGCTCGGAGGCGGAGGATACATGACGCCACGAGGAGGAGGACCACCTGCTGGAGGAGCACCAGGAGCAGCAGGGGCGCCCTGAGGAGGATAATCCATGTAGCCGCCAGGGAGGCTGGGACGAGGGACGGTCGCCCCGTAGGGAGCACCTGGCTGCTGAGGAGCAGGCGGCTGCTGGCCTGGATAGCTGAAATTATGTAAAACACAATTAAACTAGAAACTCTTTATTTACGAGCTTATCAGATAAAATTTTATACTCGTTTTAAAACAATTAATGTTTTTAATTATAAGAAAGATATTTTTAGATTTAGGTTTGCAATGCACATTATTATTACAAAAAATCAATCTGATTTTGAAAAGTTGATAATTTAATTTACCCTTGCTGTGGAGAGTATAGCGATGGTGCCTGTGGTTGCGGCATGGGAGCAGGAGAACCCTGAGCTGGAGGAACTCCAAATCGGGGAGGCTGCCCCGCAGAGGAGACTGGAGGATTTTGGAAACGCTGTTGCTGAGGCCATTGCATGTACGGTGGATAGCCTGAAGAAAAAAAACCAAAATTTTATTACAATTATCCAACACGTGCGGATGTTTTTTTAGTAAAAACTTACCTGAAGGCATTTGCGGAGCTGACGAGTGAGGTGGCTGCTGAGGTTGAGGCTGGGCTGGAGGATAATGAGCTGCCGGTGCATCAGGGGCTGAGTAGGGCACAGGGTAGCCAGTTTGACTTGTTGGAGGAGCTACCGGAGCATCTGGAGTTGGCCCCGACCGTTCTGCGAATTCAAAATAAAATAATTTATATAAAATCAATGAAGCAAATTTTAAATACAAACCTTCTTCAGGTGGGGGAGGAGCGGAGTTTTGCTGCTCCTGCAGAGGATCAAACTCTTTAGGAGCCTTGGGGACATCTTCAGGTACCTCCTCGAAAGGCGCAGGAATGCTTGTATCGCCCTGAACAGGTGACCCGCCACTGGTGCCCAGGTCGGCCAAGGAGTCGAGCAGAACGTTGATCCTATCCCTGAGAGCCTGGAGTTCTTTCCGAACACCCTCGACCTTTGGCCCTCCCGGTCCAGGAAGGTTAGTGCTTTTGCCAGGAACCAAAAGGGTCAACTTGAGGGTGCGGCTGTACTGTATGGCAAAGGCAAGGTCGGAACTATCGAAGATTGTGATCAAATCACCATCTGCAAAAAGAGGAGGAAAAATTATTCAGCGCCTAGCTTAGCTCATTTTTTGGGCTTCCTTATTCAGAGTGATTAGGTTACATGGAAATAATACAAAGAATTAGAAAACACGAGGGCCGTTTGAAAAAAAAATTGATGTCATTAATATTTTGTGGAAAAAAAGGAAGCTACTGTCTGATGTGGGGCGATGAACCAAGCGGAGCTTGAACTCGATGCATAGCATAAATAATTTTTTTACTACCCACCCTCGTCCTTATATTTGATGGTGATGTCATCAGTGTTGTCGAGCTGGCCTCTGAAGACGCGCTGCATCATCAGCACCAGCTCATCATACGTAATAGCGTCGTTGTGGATTGGAATCCGGCGAATGTCATCATTCAACTGCGCCTGCAAAAATAAATTAAAAAAATTAAAATTAAATAGAAAATTGATAGAAATGCAGAGGTCTTCAATTTATGTAAAATGTTTACAAGAATCCGTACCTTTATGATCAGTTTTCCTGACAAATCCATGGTATTAGCGCTATTTACTACTGTGATAATTTAAATGCGGAAACTGATTTGTTTAAATCTGGCAGAAATGTAGTGAAAATCCGGTCGAGAACGATAGAAGAGCAATAATTTGGAAACAACAAAAACACACGTTCATCTACTCGGAACAATGACCGGTCTACTCAACTCTTAGTACCGGTGCTGCCGTCAGAGTGCAGCACTAAATTACCGGATTAAGTGAAGGAGTAAAGGCAAAATTAATTAAATGAAGATTACAACTCACACAATTAAAAAAAAATATCTATAGTATATTTTAAAATACAGAATTAGTTTTAAAGTAGAAATATTTCCAAGTTATTGATTGGCCACTTTTGTTTCAATTACACATTACAACAGAGTGCGCTCATTTTTTCCTCTCGCGCCAGCTGCAAACGGCGGCGCTGCCGTCGCATTCTCCATTTGTTATTGGTTGCAAGAGGCGGCAACACCGCAGCACCACCGCAGGTCGCGAACAAAACATTTAACAGTGCGTTGCTGGATGGAGAGTCCCGATAAAAATGAGATTTCTGTACTTAATCTTCGCTTTACTGGGCGCAAATCACGCGAACGCAGTTCTTGAGTGTAAGTAGACACTTTTCCACTCATAAACAGTGCGAAAACGACACCGGAAACGGGCACAGTTCGCTGGTTAATTTCGCATTCAATTCAGGTCTCGCGCAAAGCGGATGACATCACAACACACTCATACATAGACTCTCATAATTCTCAACATTACTCACATCATGCGTACATACGCAGACAATTAATTTATGGCCTCATATAATTTTTGCAGACACGCTGATTAGTCAAAAAATATGCGACCCTCTGGCGAAAAAGAGAACCATCAAGCTCGGGAACAGCGACCGATCGGCGCTACATGTGACGGACGGTCGGCTCTTCAACTCCTGGACGGGCTCTTCAGCCTTTGACTGCGTGTTTGAGATCCAGGCCATTTACAAAGATGAGCTGGCCGTCGTCATCCAGAATCTCAGCCTGCGCCGGGACCCCATCACCAACGAATGCATCGACTACGTGCAGGTTGGTCAAGAATTTAATTATCCAATTTTTTTGATAAACCTTTTTGTTTTTACAGTTTAGAAAGGAGGACAAGACTTACTCGGACAAGTACTGCGGCGAAATGAACGCCCGCAAGTCTACAATGGTCACGACTGACGACGAACGAATCTTAGAAAGCTCTTATTTGCACTTTAAGGACGATTTGACCGTGATGATCCACATAGAGAAAAGACCTCTGGAGCCCGGAGAGAAACTGGATGTTGACATCGTTTTCACCTCTTTCAAAAGTGATTTGCAAATTTGATTAGTTTGGTTGTCAATTAATTTTATTCGTTTCCAGTGTGCTCTGAAAAGGTTGAAAACTATGCTCCATGTGGAATGACAAAAATGTGCATTTGGGAAGGACATTTCTTTGATGGCCGACTGAACTGTCCCTACTATGGGTGCTTAGATGAAAAGTTCTGCTGGGATGAAAATGCAAAACCAAAATATCGTAAGTTTTAATAGGGAAAATTTTATTAAAAATAATTTGAGGAGTTTTTGCCACAAATGTACACGACTTAATATTATGTCTGACAATTTATCAATGCATGATTGTGTTCTTACCTTTTTATTAAACTGTCAAATTTTTCCCCAGATAATATTATCTCTTACCTTGCTTCCTGTTTTGTTTTTTTGAGACAGTCTTCACAGGCACTGGACTCTCCACCCTGTCTAAGACTATCGCCTCTTCATTTAATTTTCTAAGACTTAAAAAATAAAATATTTGTTTTACAGTCAATCCAGTTGCGCACAATGTTTTAATACAAAAAAATAGTGTGTTTATTTTTAATAGTTCGGGCTCAAATTGCGGCTGCATCTCTTTTAATGTAGGACGATTTGGCAAACACCTGCTAGTTCTGATACCCTTCAATTTTTTTTCATTGCGGGAAGGACAAGATATCATCAATACTAAACTTTTTTGTTTTAATATCTAGAATTTTTTCTGTTGAACATAAATTCATATTTTTTTTTTTAAACAATTGATCATAACTTTCGCTTTATATTCCTGCTCAATCATTTTGCTCAGATTTTTAACCTTTGTTGATTTTTCCAGATATCAACTCCGAGCTTAATCTCATGTTCATCTTTGTGACGGCTGCCATTTTGGTTGTCCTTGTTGTTTGGATGTACCTCAAGTGCCGGGCGTCTTTCCTTGACGAAAGCATCCCTCCGGAGGCAAGATGCGCCACGCCATGTGCTACCGCTCCACCCCTGGAAGACCCGAAAGACGCTCCTCCTTCATACGACAGTTTGTTCCCTGACCCAGCAGACCGGCCAGAACAGGGTGCCGAAGCCGCACTTTTGATGCAGGCCACCGTCTTGAACGAGACCGCCGGGCCTAATTCAGCTCAACGGCCTACTTAAGCAACTACTCACAATATTATGCAGTCACTTAATTTAAGCTTCTGATCTGGACTGGCCTTAGAATCTTAATTTTTTTTAGAAAATTTATCTTTAACAAGTGGTTGGATCTCAAGCATTAGTATTTTTCTGAAAAGTTACGCTTGGATTGGTTTCATAAACAGTCTTCCACGGATAAATCAGGCGTGTCAAATGTAGGCAGACCAGCGGTTTTAAATACTTTTATGATCCGATATGTTTTTTTATAATTAAATTTTTCTCTATCCAGTCTGCAGAAATTATTTCTTTATTGAAGACTGAGAGGTGTTTTGTGTTTCAAGACTTTCTTTGCCTTTTCCTACTTAACTTTCAAAGTCTCTTCCAAAGTATTAAATGAAATTAACCTCTCAATAGAACTTGCCAGAAGTTCTGCAAAAGTTGTAAATAGTTTAAGTTACCTATTTGAAAATCTGAAGAAGTGTTTATGTGAAGCTGTGCCTTGTTGATGAGCAGACACACGTTTTAAGAAGTGGCCGAGAAAGGAAAATTTAGATGTTTGCAATCTCAAATTGAAACAAAAACCTGTGTACTTAATATTCTGATTTCATGCAGCAGGATTTCTCAAAATAATGCCGATTATTTAGGTTTATTGCGGTTGTTCTTGTCATTGATTGCATCTCATTCCACCACATGCAACAAATCTGGGCCATATTATACATGTGTGTTATTATGTAATTTTTACTTAATCGTCACATTTCTTAAGAACAGAAGTAAGCAAAGGAAGATCTGATTTTGTGAAATAATGTAATAATTTCTTGATCTTTAATTCTTTAATCAGTCTACTGCAGCTCAGAAACTTTGAGATTTGTGAGCTCTGTGATTCTTTTTATTTTGATTATTATATTATAATGGCAAACGACACAAATCATAGAAATATGTATAATGTAATTCTTAAAATTATAATAAAACGTTATCAAATTTCAAAATGTATCAATATTTTATTAATTTAAATAATTTATCAAACAACATTAATAAATTCAGGACATTTATTTATTTAGAAGGCCTGAAATTAAATTTTGTATAAAAATTCATTTATTTCGCAAAAATATTATATTTTTTGCTCAGATCAGTCTAGTAATCCGATATCGACATCGGCTATCCATTCAAGCATTGCCATCTGTCGAGCAAAAAGCGAAGTCTTTGAAAAAGTCCCGCTAAGCTCCGCCCCCTGATAAAATTTTCACTCGTTTCACGTCAAGCGCATTGTTAAAGTCCATGTACGGTAGAGGCAGCCATTTTCACACATGTTTTTCGCTTTTTCTGGCTTGAAAATCAACTAGGAAGACTACAGATTTGCACTTGAGGTCAATGGCTTTAAAGAGAATTAACAAGGTGAGTTTTTAGCGCATAAATCCGCCTCCAAGGTGCCCGAAAGAACGGCCTTCGAGCCCTTTGATTTTGGGCCCCTCGGCACACCAGCAACTTGACGTTTTGGGTCAAGATCAAAACTCTATTTCCGTCGGTTCTCGCCTTGCAGACCGATTTCGAAATCCGAGCCACGTGTACCTTTGATTTTCAGGTCTTAATTAACGGTAATTTTTTTGCAGGAACTCCACGATTTGGGCCGCGATCCCCCAGCACAATGCTCGGCTGGGCCCGTTGGAGATGACCGTGAGTCACCCCCTCCTGGAATATGCTGTGCTCGAAACGCGTCGCATATTTCCAATTTTTGCGTTCGAAATACTAAAAAATTCTGTTCATTTTGCAGTTTTCCATTGGCAGGCTACTATCATGGGGCCCGTAAGTTTTATAATTACGCATTCTGCGCATTCAAGGATTTTCTATCTATATCTGAATTTATATAACGACATAACCCAATAAAGAGAGTTCTTGCGTTGTCATCCAAGCACATACTAACATAATTATTTTACAGTCATTTATGCAGGGAAAGTTTCAAAAAAAATTTTATAATAATTCAAGCACTGATTAGAAATTGCTAGAATTTAAAGAGGATGCTTACAGAATAAATTATCAAAGAGAAAAATTATCAGCGACGAAAAGTTTCGTCACCTATATTTGTAATAACAAATTTTTCAGCCTGACAGTCCATATCAGCAGGGTGTGTTTTTCCTCACCATTCATTTCCCAACAGACTATCCTTTCAAGCCACCGAAGGTAAAATGCAATTTGAATCTGGAAATTTTGTATATTTATTTAATGATTGCATAGGTGGCCTTCACTACGAGAATCTACCATCCAAATATCAATAGCAATGGCAGCATCTGTCTTGATATCCTCAGATCTCAGTGGTCTCCTGCTCTGACCATTTCCAAAGGTAAAATTAAAGTGTCAAAGTTCAGTCTTTGATGTAATTAAAGGAAAATTAAAGCATCTTTTGGTGCCTTAATCTTGAAAAATGAGAGAAAAGTTCAAAAAGTTTTAATTTTCAAAATTATTTCAACTTCATTACCGATCCGAAAAATTTACCCATTTATTTAATGCAATTTGGATAACTTAATATTCCTCACCTCATTCTTTGTAATTGTGCTTCACTGTGTCAAGAGACTGGCCTAAAAGCTTAAGGGTATCATTAGCAAAAATACTGAAATGTGTTAAAAATTAAGCCCATAGGCTGAATTCGTTTTCAATTTAATTGCGTCCTAAATGTCATTTTTATTATTTAGAAGTTTCCAGGGCAGAAATATAACTTTAAAAACTTCCACGAAATTATAAGTATTGATTAAATTAAAATTATATAATTACTTTTTATCTTTCCCCTTTTTCAATTCTTATTTGATAACCTCAATAAACAAATTATATTTTTAAATTCCATTTTAAGATTTCTCAATTGTCAATTGTAACAAAATAAAAAAAGCAGTCATTATCTAATCCCGATCGAAAATAGAGACACAACTTGACCTTACTTTTAACTTGCAAAAGACGAACAGGAGTAACTTACCAACAATAATCTGATAATCCTGATATCACGGATTAGAATTTCGATAAGTTTTTCTCCCATTGAAATAAATTCTTAAAGCAAATCATAAGTGAATTCAATATAATTTTTAAAATTTTCCAATTGCAGTTCTTCTGTCAATCTGCTCACTGCTGTGTGATCCAAATCCAGACGACCCACTGGTTCCTGAGATTGCTCGTATCTATAAGACGGACCGCGAGAAGTACAATGAGCTGGCCAAGGAGTGGACTCGAAAATATGCAATGTGATTGACTCATTTCCCCACTTTGTTGAATCATCAATCTTTCATCTTGTCTGCTCGTGTGTATGATTGTTTAATCCTCTCTTCTCCTAAAATCAAACAAGCCCAATGAAAAAATTATTCAATGATTCCTTCTGCTAGGGAAGCAGCATGAATTTAATTTCCGGTTAGACTCGCTACTAGTCAAGTCTGCTCGGTATTGCTTCAATCTAAATTCATTCCTTCCAACTCTTAAAAGTCGGGAGTTTTTTGTTTTAATAACCTCCAAGCCAAGCACCAGTTGGTTGGTTTTGGCAAAAACATTTTATTGTCCTATCCATATGCAAATTTTTCTTAAATAAAAGCTGGATGAACTCGTCTATGATGATTTATCATGAAAAATATATGACTATACAGTCCCATTTCATTTATATCTAAAGAACAACTTGGATGGAGAATTTCCCACAGGTATGATGCAAAATAATGTTTTCAGAAAACGAGGAAATTTTTGTAAATAAATATGTAATTGTTTAGATTTTTTTAGAGCATAGAATAAACGAAGTTCTTATCTGTATGTAAATCAAAGGGGTTTAATTTTGAAATAAATTTATTAAAGTTTGGTTGAGAGAAAGAAAAACTAGAAAATAATTAAATCAGTTAATAAAAATGACTCATCCATCCAGTCAGGTGATTCATTTGAATGTGGTGGTGAAGTCGTTTTGTATTTGGACACAAGGCTTGTGTTTTGTGAAGGAAAACTGTGACTCATTCAAAAGGGTCCTAGCAGCAAATAATTTTTCTAACCTCAACTGAAAAATTTGAAGTGCATCGCACTTTTAATTGTATTGATATAGTATTTAATTTTATGCTTTCACCTGTAGGCTTAAGAAAGTTTTAATATTTTAGGCTCGTTTCTATTTTCATATCAATGTGGGGCAAGTGTGGTGCCCCGTGCAAATGTTAGTGGAATTTGATGAAAATTGATTTAGGGAGTAGAGAAAACCATTATGAGGTTGATTAAAAAAGAGCTTTGAGAAAAAATTATTCCTGCTTAATCGTTTTGCTCCGAAGTTCGATCTGAAAGTTGGAAATCTCCTAATATCCCTGTTCTTTCAACTTCAAAGTTGACAACTTTTGATTTCTTTGCTGCAATAAATTTTTCTTTGCACATTTCCAAAAAGGTAGATTGCTCTTGTCAGGATCATAGAAGTTCATAGCCCTTATTAAAATTTTCCTTGTGCATGAATGAGAATTTTGAGTCCATACCACATTTAAAAACTTATCTTTTGCTTTATGGTTGAGTAAAGACGTGAAAATACAAAATGTAAATGCAATAAGAGCTTTTGAAAAATTGAAAAACTTGCATTTTTTTTTTATCAAGGAGAAATTTTCATATTTCAATAAAGTACAATATTTTGGCTGCACGTCATGTTTTGCAAAGGGCACAGGTCTATTTATTGACAAAAATTCAGCCTTTGTTAACTGGTTCAGAATAACAGTGTTTCGTTAATTGAAAAGATCAAATGGCTCAAATATTTTAGCACGTATGCATGCCACATTATTATTTTGATGCAGCGCAGTGCAGTTGAAAAACCTTAGGCAAGGCCCATTGACAAAAATGACGTCATGGCATCGATTCCCACTCTCCAAAAAACCACACCGTCGTTCGTAATTTGTTGCGAATTGTGCCACGAATTTGTGGTCAGACAGACAAAATAAGTTTTTTTTTATTTGTGTCATCACTTGCCCTGTTCTTAGAATTTTTGCCAATATTTGAGGAAGTGAACTTCCGATTGACACACTGATTTTTTTTAATTATAAACCCATATAAATAGTGCCCTTTTATGGCCTCACAAATTTGTCTACATTTTTTTAACCTTTTTCAGCCTCTAGCAGGATAGTCGTCTAGAATTAAATTACTCTTTCACACTCTTTCATAACAATAATTTGATAAAGGGGAAAGCTCTGAAATTTTTGTACACCAAACTCGGCGATAATTTATTAAAAACATGCAACAGGAAAAACTGGGAAAAAACAAAAGGTTACTTGTTTTCAATTTCAAATTATTATCGGGCACAGATATAATACAACCTTCACCTTTTTCATACGGAAAAAGTGAGCTTTTTCACTGAATTGTCCCAAACAACCTGCATTGGAGGAGAAAAGTGTCACAAATCAACTGCGCGCAATAATAATAAAAAAAACTCCGTGTTTGCCCTTGGATTGTCGGTGCAGCGGTCTGGGATTACCCCGAACGTGCTTATGGGAGTTGAAGAGTGAACGCAACTCTCATCCTTCCTCCCATTGAAAAGCCTCAATAAATAATTTCCGACGCACGCATTTTGAACTCGTAAATCCAGGCGTTGCGCTTTTCCCACCCACATTTACATACCACTTGAATTGTTTTATTTATTTTAGTGGTTTTTTCCTGGGAGGCTTGTCATGTTCTGGCTGCTAATTGGGTTTTACGTCACAACGTAGATGGTGATGGATTTTTTTCCCGATGCACACAGTCAAAAAGTAGAAGGGACGAGCGCCGGGTGCGATAAAGGAATTATATAAATATCCGACGCGGCGCGAGAGCAGCATTCATTCCAGTTTAGCTTGTGGTGAACTTAAGACCAAAAACTTCTCTCTTCACAAAAAGATAAAGTTTGTACTTTGTTTGAGCTGTATTTCATCTGAGGTTTCCTTCGCCTAGTCAGTCACAAAATGGTAAGAAAATTTTTAATTATTTTCAATTCAATGAAGTATTACAACAATATTTATAAAATGATCAAAAATGCATTTTTATTGCATTTAATTTTTTTATATCAAATAGTGAGAAAATTTTAAATTATTTTAAATTAAATGAAGTATTACAACGAAATTTATAAAATAATAAAAAATGCATTTATATTGCATTTAATTTTTTTTATCAAATTTAATTTTGTATTCATTTTTTATTTTCTAGAATGATCAATCATAAAATAATTTTATTATTATTTATTTTGGTTTCTTTTCCATTTAATGGTATCAAAAGATTTAACAATAGTTTTCATTTATTTAAAACTATTATCTAATTATACACTAAATTTCAAAAATTTGATTTTAATCTTGAACTATTTGATCAATTCATTTTTCTCCTTTTTTTAACAGATGTCCAGGGTAGTCATTGTTCTGTCCGTCTGCCTGGCGCTCGCCACCTTGAGTGCAGCCCAGAGGCCCTTTTACGCCCCTAATCCGTGGTTCGATAAGTACGGACCCCAGCAGGAACAAACCAGCACAACCACCACCTCAAGTGGTTCCACGTCTAACACGTCCAACACTGTCGACCCGTTGGGAGACCGTTTCCTTGTCCCCGTTGAGAATAACGTCAGCTTCAGATACTACAACAATGTTCCCATCGAAGGCCCAGGCACACCCTGCGTTGGATGCGTCTACAGGCTGACAAGGAATGGATTCGTGATGGTCCGACTGTGAGAGGAGAATAATTATTATTTTATAGATTTGAAGAGGAAAAGATCTCTTTATTTTGTCTACAAGAGCCGAAATAAAATACATTTATTTTAAAATAATTGCACAAAACTTTATTGCATTTTCACAAAACAAAATTATACACGTCTCAGTTACAAAAAAAATTATATATATAAAAAATACGTACTTTAAATAAGGAATTTAAGCCACAATGGCACTGGAACATTTTGGGGAAAATCCTTTGCTGGGTCATTTTTCAAGTCGCCTTGTTTCACATTGTAATAAAAGATACGAGGTCAGGTTAATAACAATAAGTACAATTCGTGCAGGAAACGGCCTTGCGCTTTACGCCCAAACAGAGCGCCAGCAGGAAACAGTTGTGGTCTTTGTACTCCTGTTTTTCAGATGTTTTGTAAAATATATAAATTTTTGTTGTTCCAGTTTAGCTCCAAAGCAAAAGTACAATAAAAATGAAGTTTTGTTATTTACAGAATAAGTAATGACTTTTTAATTTTAATAAAAATAAATAATGAATTCTAATATCCAGCAGCTGTTGCGAGCAGTGGACTTGACAGAAGACCAAGAAAGTTTCCGAAACCAGATATACTAATTTATGAAGACAACTTTCCATCTAGAATATTTGATGAGACAAGAAATGAATGATCACTTTATTAGTTTAGTTACTCATATATTAGCCAATTAATAAAAAATTTATCCTAGCGATTTTAGTAAATATTCACATGCTCATTCCCAGTTACAGCCTCGATTACAAAAGAATCATTCATGACAAAAGGATGGCTTTTCCACTATAATTTAAGTGAGCAATAAAATGCTTCAACTTACTTGATTTCCAAAGCCCACTGGAGGCACCAGTCCCTGACACTACTGCCCATCCTATACATATTTGACACATTCGAATGTATCAATTCTATTGCTCGATGATTATGTGTATGAAATGTCTACAGATATTCCACAATTAAATCATTCACAATACTAGTACAACCTCAAGACTTAAATTTGTTTTGGTCATTGTGAAACTTTTTAGCTTTTCTACTCTCAGCCTAGTAGAAATCACGCAGCAAGAGGAAGCAGACCTTTAAAAACAGGACACTTCATTGCATTGAACATTTTACAAAATTTCTCTGCATAAACGGTATTTTACAGCTTAGGCTACAAAATTGGCATATCAAAAGCACCTTCAAAATCGTTGGTATGAAAATACTTGCGAGCAAAACCGGAATGGAATTATGGAGATTCCACATGGAGAAGAAAATCACAATTTTTCTAAATTCAATTTAAATCATTAATCGTAATTAAATTTTGTGCCTTTTAAATGCTTTTTTGCAGTTCCCAAATTTGGTTTTCTTGTGTATTTGACACAAAGTTTAGTATTTTAATATAGCTAATGATCGGCAAATCGGAAAATGCGAAGCAGTGTGGAAAGTTCCAAATGTCTAGTTAAAACCACTTGGGGATTGTTTCAAAATTATCCATAAAATTACACGCTATATTCTTACTGAATAAAAATACTCTGGCACTAAATGTAGTATTTTTGCTTTGTAAATGGAAAAAATTCTGACTAAGCAGTTTTCATCAAAATTATTATACACATACTATTCTTAAGTGCAGGGTAACTTTAGGGTTGAATTTATTTGGTTACTGCGGCTTGACGCTGTCCATGTTAGGAATGTAGTCGGTGGCCATCAAGCAGGCGAACACGGTCATCACCATCTTTGGCTTCACCTCAGTAATGTCTTCAGGCAGGGCGTAAACTCTGGCACCCAGTTTTCGTGCCATTGAAATGGCATATTTAGCATTGCCATGCTTTTCCTAAGTTGAGGGAACAAAATTTAATTAATTTCCAAATAAATAAAAAGAACCTTTGAAATAATTACTTCGTCAGTGGCACCGTCCTTGACCAGGTCGTAATTGATTATTCCTGGCTTGAGGGAGTCGATTACATCCAGAACAACTCGGGCATCAGCAATACTCGAATCCTTATTTTAAAATTAGTTTCATCTTTTCTAAAAAAATTGCATTCATCATACTTGGAAACTCTTTATCGAGCTTGTCTTTCCGGAATTGTTGAGTTTGTTGTTGACCCACGTTACAATCTCCTTCTCCACCATAGGATTTCCTGTGTTGGCCAACTGAGTCAGGACAGACAAAGTGTATGCACGCATCAATTGCCAGATAAGGGCTAAAAGATTAAAAAGTTCAAAATATGGTTAAAAAACCGCTTTTTGAAATCTACCAAGTGTGAGAGTGGCGTTTCCGTCATTCAAATCTTGACCAGCAATTCCCACGAGAGAGAATTTCAATTGCTTTCCGAGCTCCACAGCATAATTGCAGTTCTCCAGTTTTTCCATGAACTTCCTCAATTTGGAGAATTTTCTGCAAACGAAAATAAAATTATAGATGAAAATTTTTAGCAAGCATTTAAATTTAAATATTCATGGTTTTTATTACCTGTGCACTCTGTTCCAGTTGACGATTCCTGGTTTGATGATGTCATACAGTTGGAAAATAATGAGGCCGTCAGCCAGATCCGAGTACAACCAATTCACGTACGGGGCAACACCCATTGAGTTCATCCAGTTTCGGTACGCTGAAGAGAATAATAGTTTAGAAGAGCAATTGAGACCACTCATAAACTTTTACTTTTTTCCTCCCTCGTCTCTTCAATGGTTTCCAGTCCTTCGATTTCACCCTCGGGCTTGTCTAGGGCCGGATGGTTGTTGAACAAATTGGCCACGAAAGCCAAGTTTAGTTTGTAAACTCCGTTGACGACGTCGCTGGGCGTCACGAAACTCCTGCAGCCTAACTTGGCCGCTTGCTGGAGCATAATTTCAGCCCTGGAGGTCAGGTTGGGCTCCATCAGGGCTTCCATGGACACTCCAGAATCTCCCGGGGCGATCGACTTCAGCAGGTAAGTGTAAACCTCCGAATCAGAAATGTCGCTCTGGAAGTTGTTGCAGCGGCGGTTGGTGCCGGACCTCTCCAGGTGGTGGTTCACCCAGCGGAGGAGAATGGCCTCCGGCGACAACTTCATCAAGTCCTCGATCTTTTCTCCGTCGGCAAGCAGACCTGTAAGGCCTGGACAGTGCTCCAGGGTGATTTGGTTGAACAGTCCTATCTGTAAATAAAATATTTCAATAAAATTTATTTCAAAATCTTAATAAAATCAAATTAGATTATTTCCAACACTTTTGCAAAATGTCAAAAAATTGTTTCAATTACCCTGATGATTTGCCATAGCAAGCCAAGGACGAGGTGAGGTTTTCCTTTTGACAGGTCGTGGGCATCAATGTTGATGATGTTGCAGCCAATTGACTGGGACGAGGTCAAAGCGAGGGTCAAGTTCTCATGTTTCGTGTACAAGGTGAGGTTTTTCTTATTAATGGCGCGCTCGTCAATCGTGTCTGGGCAGGAGTGGTTGATAATTTTGCTGAAAAATAAATAATTGAATAAATATATTAAAAATAATATAGTTAAATTCTGTAAATTATATTGGAGCAAATAAAACTGGGAAAGGAAAATGATAAAATAATGTTATTGAATTGACGGAATAATAATAGAATAATATTTTTAAAAAAACACTGCATTATCATCGTTTTACAATTCTACTGTTTCACCTGTAGGCAATGGCTTAGTATTTTTCAATTATTAAAATAAGTTAGTATAAGAGAATAATTATTGCTCTCCTTGTTATAGCTCTTGAACAATTGGATAGATTTAATTCTAACCAATTTTGATCTCTTCAACTGCAAACTGGGGTCTGCATTCAAAATTAAGGGGAAGGGCTATTATTGATTAGATTCTGTGGGCCGATCCTGGCGGTACTGCAATACCAGGCCAACCCGTGTCAGGAGTGGAGCAAGCTCCTAGCATCCCGACAAATTCCAAAAATCAGTTTAATATTCTGGACCGGCAATGCCGGTCGTATCAGATATTAAGCTGATAAGAACAGATACTACACTTTGATCTTAGCCAAAAGGCCGAGAAGCGATACTCAATGTTGAGAGACGCGCGAGCCCGGCCTGAATGGCCATGAGTGTGAAACATCGAGGCACCGGTTTCGTTTCAATCATAGTAAACGCCCTAATTCACGCAGTTCAGTGATTAACGCCTTAAATTAAAGATATTAAACATTTACTTTTATTGAATTTAAAATAATGTATAATAAAGTATTGGATATATGAAAAAAATATCAAAAACATGAAATAAATATTTGTGTTTTGCGGACGCCAACTACCGGAGAGTCGTTGAAGCTTGTTCCGAATGGGCGGTCTCCGAGCTATCATATCAGCCTTTCCACTTTGCTCAGAGCATTGATAGTTTTTTAAATAAATATTTTTCTTCAAAGTTTTTTTTAAGAAAAAAATAGTAAATTATTGAAGATGATCCTTTTTTTGCCGTTAATGTTAATTTAAATAAATTGTTTCTTACCACAAAAGAATTCCATCTTTGACTTTGTCGTACAGCAGTTTCCCCTCAGCATCAATGGGCAGGAGGTGTCTCAGGTCAGGGTCATGACCCAGGTTAGAGTTAATCCAGCCAGAGAAGGCGAGTTGCTCCTCGAGGCGCACTGAGTGGGTTGTGCCCTCGCTTGAGGCTGTCGACATACCTCCCAGCGTTTCCAAGTTCTCCTTCTTGGACACAACCTGCTTGAAGCTTGTGGCCACATCTTTCGATTTTAAGTCCTTACAAAGCTGGAAAACAAAATTTTAATTTGCATCTCTCAGTTTTTTTCTTCTTTTTTTTCAACATATTTTTATATTTTTTTTTGCACACCAAATTTAACTACGGCACATTTCAAATTTCTTTCTAAAAAAATATTTCATAAACAAAATGATAAAATTCATTATTAATGAAAAAAATCGCAACTTCAATTTTTTAATTTGTTTAAATCTACATAACCAACATCTTAATTATACTTTTTTAATATTTTGTTTATTTAATTTAATATGTCTTACGTTTTCAAATTCTTCAAAGTTCAGCCGGCCTCTGTGCTGTGTTTGGTGCTTGTTGTCGTACTCCTCGATCATCTGCCGGACGCGCCACCCGGGAATTTTGAAGCCGCAATTGTCCAGGGCGTCTTTCAGCTCGGAAAGATCTATCGTTCCGTCACCATTCTTGTCGATCTGCAACAAAGTTCACGTTCCATTGAGCACTCAGTGAGTAAACTTCTGACCGCAATTAACGCTGCAATTTCTCAATGAAACCGTACCACATCAATCAATTAAGAATAAGGCGCTTGTAAAAAATATTTATATAAAATTAAGGTCGGCGTTATCTTGCCAAGGGTCGTTGGCTACTGCAGTTTCAATAAAAAGGGGCGTGAAAATGATTTAATAGTGTGATCCGTCGTCTCTCTCTCTTTTTTATATCAGTAACATGAAGTAAGAAGTGTTGCTGTCACCATAGATAAGATGAAAAATTGGTCTTTTTAACTGTCTATAGAGCTATCGTCGATTCTCATCTCAATTACAACTTGGAGGAAATTAATATATTTTTTCAAATCTTCTGGTAAAATTTTACAAAAAAAAAAATGTTTTTGTAGAATTTTGATTGAAAGTTTTTCAATGAAATTTATAATTTTTACTTTCATTCATAAAATTTAAACTTAAATATCTTTTTCTAAATGTTGAGCTTAGTTTGTTGATTTTTTTTTCAAAATTAATTTAAAAACTAAATGAAAAATTAAATTGATTGAACAAAAGCCACTAAATAAAGATTTATTTTGTCCCTTTAAATTAATTCTTGAGTGAAGAAGCGTCACGCTGAGAGGTTTGATTAGCAATTTCACTCTCTCTTGCATGCTTTTTGCTGCTTTGCACTTGATTAGTGGCCGACCAAAATTTCCAATCGCTCCGTCTTTCTTCTGTTCGGCCATCCATACCCTTTTCGTAGGCCGTACACCTTTCTTTCTTTCTTTAATCCGCATTGTGTGAAGTTTCCCATAAGCAAAAGCGAGATACAAAACGGCCCATCGTGTAGAGCTGGGAAATTATTTTCACACGGCGTGCAGCCGCTTTTTAATCATTTCGTATGCACCGACCGAGCTCGCTCTCGTCGACGAGAACAGCACAGCACGCGTGTATATAATTTTGGTTTCTTTTTTCAAAATCGCACGCAGAGGATGAGAGAAAGAATTTCACGGAGAGGGAGCAGCGAACGCCGCGGCGCTTTATTAGATCGCATTATCGCGCCTTTAATTAGTACGAGGTCTGTTAGCGAGCGCTTAAAAACTGCAAAGGAATTGTTTTAATTTTTTTTTCGAGACAAAAAATAAATTATTAAAAGAACCGAATTAAATGATTCATAAACAAAAATGTTTGTGTTTTATTTCATGCTATTAATATTCCTGCTTTTATTTAAAAATAGCCAAGATTTCCCCCAGAAAATTCTATAAAAGGTTATAAGTAAAAACAAGCTTGCAATATTCCTTGGATGTTAATTTAAAAAAAGTGGTCGGATGTGGGATAACAAAATTATAACATTGATTATATGCAGGAAAAAAAAGGATAAAATTTCAAGAATAAATCAATTTAATCCCAATTTCAGTTTCTGAAAGAAAAAAACTGGTCAAATAAGCAATTAAAAAGAAATTTAAGAAAAGAACTAAGTAAGCTGACATGGGCGCATTTAATTTTTAAAAACAATAGGTCTAGAGTCTATAATTTAATTTAAATTCTAACCATTTTTTCATAAATTGATCCTCTGACGTCAAGAGAAACCAATTTAATAATATCCAAATTCATCATTTGATTCATAAATCGACAATTTGCAGAGAGAAAACGCCAAGCAGAATAGGCTACATTTTTTCTGATTGAGAACGTAAAATGTGGTTTCAGAGGCACTACTTCCCGGCGCCCTTAAGCGAGCTGTTTTTGTTTGATTAAATATCAGGGACTTGGAATAAATAGCAGTCTTATCTGCACACACGACACAGGAAGAGGCAGTGGCTTTTCCAACAAGCTCGCTGCCAGAAAAAACATCCTCGACGGCGCATTTTATATAAAGTGTTGTATTTATTTTTATCAGCACTTAATGCATTCATTGTCTCTGGAAAGATCGACTGACACTCAAGGGCGTGTCACATTCGCGCGGGGCGAGTGCGAATTAATCGATTTGCAAAAGGCGAGAGGAAAAGGAAACGGATTTTTATCTAAGCTGGCTAATCTCTAGGCGGTCCGAAAATTTAAAGAAGGGCTCGGCGGTCTAGTCGTGCACAGTTTTGTCAAATATTTGCACAAGAAATTCACAATCAGTACGACTAGAAATTTTTGTCTAAACGGTATACTTGGAAAAAATGGTTGTTTATCTCAGGTATGTCGCATAAAAGAGTCAGATTCTGAGAATGTCGAGTTATTCGCAATTGCATGCGTCACGTCGTTTGTCTTCATTATTACGTCAAAGCTCTGGCAGACTAATCAAATAAGGCGCAGCGATTGAAAGGCTTGTTCGCAAATTTAAATTCATAACGTGATTTGCAGAAACGGAGAATGAAAGCGAGCATGGGCTCTTGAATTAGATTGTGAGAAAAGTATTGGCTCAACTTTTACGATGAGACTGAAATTTCTCTCGCTGTGAAAATATATATATTTTTTTAAACTAATTTCCATGCATTTTTTTTTACATTTTGACTGATTCATTTTAAATTTGCTATTTAAATGAACCTGTTCAGGACAAAAAAATGTACTGTGGCTATATTTACATTTAAATGGAAACACATTTTCACCCCCACTTGCGCTATTCCAATTAAGGCTCATATTTGGCTCTCCTGCGAAGAATCCGAGCCGCTTCCAAACATGTTTTATTTTCTATCATGAGCAACAGATATACAAGGAAGACCCCCAGGGCGCGTTATTAAATGCTCACAAGCCGAAAAACCAGAGAAAACACGGTCCGTTTTGGACGCGCACATCCTAATTATTATTCCACTGGGAATAAATTACGAGGCGATCCCAATTCGGTGTGACTCAACCGTCGAGTCCAGTCACTCTATTTGGAGAGATCACTTTTTAGTAGAGGTAAATACAGGTGCGTTTTATTAATTCTGTCTGTTGTTCGTTAAACATCGGGTGATGTCATTTGCACACAACAATGAGAAAATTGCCCGCCACTGACAGTTAATTATGTCGGTCATGATCATTTAAAATGAATCATATATTATAAAGTTGCCTATATTTAATTAAATCGATTAAAAAAAAGTGCTGAAAATTAAGATAATAAAAAATTATAAATTAAAAATACCTCATATTAGAAGAAAAAAATGTTCAAATGTCTCTATACATGACATTGTGCCATTTTAAGTTTTGTTTTGGATTAGCCAAGAGACAGTAATAATTGTTTACAAGTTGTAAAATTATACAAAACACTCAAATAAAACAACATCCACTTTAATCGCCCTTGAACTCTAATGTTCAAAAGTTTTTAGTAAATTCTGCATGCTAAACTTGCAATAGTGTTGTCGAATTTTCTTTTCACAAAAAATTTACAATTTTATTAAAAATCAATTTTGCACTAACTCTTAACAGATTGTAAAATTTAAATATAGTCTTTTCAAATTTTCTTTTTTAAGAAAAAAAACTCAAAAACTCAAATTAATAACAGACGTGCCAGTTAATTTAATTTCAGTTATACAATTAAACCAGTACCATTGTAATTATTATTTAAATTCAATTCAATTGCGGTTTTTCAAGTTACTGCTCGAAAGCATTTCCCCTCACGCAAAGAAAGCCGTCGAAATTCAGCTCATTAACGGCAATTACGAGAAATATGCGCGCGCAATTAGTCAAAACGCGCGGAGAAAATAATGCCGGCCACTGTGAAAAATAAGGAAGTCGGCGAAAATTTCCTCGCAACTATATATTTTCTCACCTGTGATCTACTTTCAAAGAAAGAAGCAAGAAGGAAACCAAATTGTTCAATTTCCGGCACAACCGGCGTTTCCCCGAATCGACAGGTGCTTTCGAAAATCAAGTGCTGCTGGTCATGCAGTCAGGGAACCCCTGTCTTGAAAGGTCTCAACCTGTGAGTGAAAATTTATGCGTGCGTGCAGCATGACGTCACGCGAGGCCGAGCCCACTGAACACATAAAAAGCTGATTCATTCATTTTCGCAAACGCAGCCGATCGTTCCACGCGAGCATTGCGTTGTGAGAATTACCGGTCTTTTACAGGATAAAGGGTTGGTCGGAGCAACGAGATGAATCATCTTTCTACTAATGATGCATCTACACTGATTAATTGGCAACAACAAGCGACACGTGATTGTGATTTTCTTATTAAAATTAATCATCATAATTCTGCTGTGGGTAAACATTCAAAGATTACTCTTACAATGAGATGGGTTCATGGTTTAAAGTTCAACAAAAATCAGCTGCAAAAGCAATTTTTAATTACACTTTGAAAAGCATTTTCTATTATGATTTATTTTTAATGGCATAGAAAAGTAGCTTTTTCCTGATTTTCTAAGAAGAAAATTAATGTATTTATCGTGATTCCTAACAATAAGTGAAATAAAAACAATTTATTGAATTATTAAATATTTTAGAATATAATTCTCTAAAATTAAAAGTTACAATTTTTAACAGTTTAAAAAAATCATAAGTTTTATTTCAATTATTTTGCCCGTTTCTTAATATGAAAAAACTTGGAAAATATTAACTAATTTGATTTCCATACCTTTAAGAGTTTTTTATTAAAAAAATATTTATTTTAATTGATAACATTGGACATGTTCCCTTTAGAAGAACCCAATCTGAAGACCTTTCTATTGCCTCTGTTCAAATATCTGAACTGCCGATTTTTAATTTCTATCAAAATTTAAATGATTGAGTAAATCTCGGCAGTTTTAATTAACTTTCAAATACATTTCAATTCATTGCATACATTTAATAGTTGACTTGTTGCAAAACAAATTATTTTATTTTCAGGCCACCGTTGCAAATGGCAAAAGTAAACACTAACCTGATTGAACTAATGTGTATTTAACAAACACGCAGACAAAGCGTTTCGTGCAACTCGTCCTTTCGCCCATTGTTCGCAATTTGTGCAGCCCTTTCGTAACGCGCATGCGAACGCATACTAATCACATATACGTGAAAAAGGAAGACGACGATGGTTTGCTCAACTTG